ACCTGCCAGAATGGTTATCTTTCTTTGAAGATCCATTTTATGCTATGAAGATTATTTTGATAAATAATTTAGTCAGGAAAAAATTTTCAATGTATTCAGATAGCCTTGTAAATCTTTTATGCCTGGATCTAACTATGATATGAAAGATAATTTCTAGTGGCCTTCCTAGATGGTGTTCTTAATAATGCTTCATACATCCCATTTCCCATCAGTCACCAGGTAAGTAAATATTACATTCAAAATTTATGTCTTCTGAATGCCCATTTTACCATTACTGTTATTTGGTTTAACCCTTGAATTACTTCTCAACTAGATTATCACAGTAGCCTTCCTGCTTGTCTCTTCAGTTTCTTCCTTCTTCCTCTATTAGTCAAAATTCATATAAACATGATTATGAGGACCTAATGCCGGGGGCTTAAGTGGAGAGGAAATATTTTGAGAATGATGAGGGCAGTGAATGTACAAATGCGCTTTACACAATTGATGTGTGTACGGATTGTGATGAGTTGTATGAACCCCTAATAAAATTATTTTTTTAAAAAAAGCTCTTTAGCTATTTTAAGCAGAAAAGAATTGAATGGAATGAAGGTAGTTGTTAGGATCCTTGGTGACATAATGGTTATTTTTTGGACTGCTTTCTACAAGGTCAGCAGTTTAAAACCACCAGTTGCTCCACAGGAAAAAGACAGGGCTTTCTATTCCTATGAAGTAGTTACAGACTCAGAAGAGTTGCTTTCTAGTCCGTTCTGCTTCATGGTAACCGCTTCAGTGTAGGTGACTCCATAGTGATTTTAAGGCTTTGATCTTTTGGAAGCCAATGCTATGTCTGTTTTTCAGGGTGCCTGTAGGTAGATTCAGGAGCCCTCTTGCTGTAGTGGGTTTTGTGTTGGGCTGCTACCACAAGGTCAGCAGTTCGAAACCACCAGCTACTCTGCGGAAGAAATGCAATTCCCTCTACATCTATAAGGATTTACAGTTTTGGAAACCCACAAAGGCAGTTCTCTGTTCTGTAGGATCTCTGTGAGTCAGGACTTGATGGTGGTGAGTTGTTTTTTGTTGTTCAGGTAGATTTGAATGTTCAATCTGGCTGGTACTTAGGGTACCATTTGTGCTACCTGTGAACCTTAATAAAGGTATTAAGGAGAGGTACATAGTCATGAATGTGTGCATGAATATGAACAGTAAAGTACTAGTTATACTTGAAGCTTCAGACCTGGTATGTTTATAAAACTGATTTCATAATTTTAAGACCTTAAACTTGGTTTGAAATGTAAAACTATAAAACTTAGAATAATATCTTAAAAACAAGCCAGTTTAAATAATTTTCAGAAAGCTGTCAATTTAGAATTGTTTTTTTTTAAGTACTTTCAGGATATGTGTAATCTATTCAATTACTTTACAAATATATAACATTTTTGCAGTGTTCTTTGAGACCGTTAATATTATTGCCTCTGTTGTTATGGAAACAAGTCTCTGAAGGCAGTCTCAGAGGCTAATGATTCCATGGTATTGCTATGGATAGAAACAACTGAGACTGTTAGTCACATGATCTACGTTGAAAAAAAATTTTTGGTAGCTGATTTTATTGAGTGATAGAAATGGAGCAAAATGAGAATGATGACAGTAATTATTGTCAGGTTAATGAATTACATATGAGGTTTTTCCAGTTCAAACAGCTTTTACCGAATTATTTTTTATAGTAATCCAATTTTAAAATGCTTGCTATATATACTACTCTTCTTTATATTAGAATTTTAAGTTTGACATTTTTATAAATTTAGAACCTTACACAGCCTCCCAGAATTTTATTTTCCTCTCAGTCTCCTTCATTTGATTAATACTTATTTAGAGCTGTATTTTTACTTTGGGTAAATGAAATCAACTATTTTGTAGTTGCTTTGGAACTCTTGTTACTTGAATGTCTATTACGTTATGACTCAGAAATTGTGTGTTGATATGTCATTTGTTTTTGAGTACTTGCTGATAAGTAATTGCCTTCCTTAAGAGACAAGTGTGGTTTATTTGTATTTGTTTGTTTGTTTTAAAGTGCTCAGTGGCCTATAAACTGTGGATCAACAGGATATAGGCTGTCTAGGTTAAAAAATTTGTTTGAAATTTTTTTTGTTTAGCCATGATAAAAGTTTACACTAGAGTTTAAGTATAACCGTAAACATTAAAATATTTATAGTTTATAATTAAGGGCTTTATTTTATTCTTAGTTGTAAAGTTTGACACAAGCATGTATTATTGCCTTTTGTTTTTTTATATCATATTGTGGTTAGGTGCCATCAAATTGGTTCTGACTCATAGCAACCCTATGCATAACAGGTCAAAACACTGTCCGCTTCTGTGTTTTCATCACAACTGTTGTGATGTTCAAACCCATCATCACACCGCTGTGTCACTCCATCTTGTAGTGTATTCCTCTTTTGTTGCCTCTCTACCAAACATGATATCCGTTTTCAGGGAATTGGTCTTTCCTGATAGCATGAGACGAAGTCTAACCATTCTTGTTTATAAGGAACTTTCAGCTAATATCTGATTCGCTTATTAGGACTAGAGATCATTATTAAGAAAATATTACATTTGGTACATTTTCAAATTTAAAAATAAACTTAGATTTTTCATGACTTGACGCATTTGAAGACTACACCAAATTTTCTAGTGTCACTCAATTTGGGTTTGTCTGATGCTTAATGTTAGATTCAAGTTATGCATCTTTGATAAGTGTATCACAGAAGTAATGGATTCTTACATATGCTTTTGGTTTGTCCCATTAATAAATGATGTTAACTTTTATTATTATCCGTTAGGGTGCTCCTCCTCTCTAATAAGTATTTTGAGAGGAAATGCATTAAGTAAACATACCTATCCCATTAAAATCTGCACCCAAAATTGCATTGATGTTTCTTGAATAATGGTTGCTAAATGATGATTTTGTAATTTGGTAATTTCCTATGTATTTTTAAGTTGGCATTCTATTGTAGGGAAATGTTTTCTCTCCTTCCATTTATTTGTTTCTCTATTTGTTTATGTTTCTAGGCATATTTATTTGTTCTCTTCCTGTTCTTAATAGTAGAGGTCACTAGCTCAGATTATTTTTAAATGATATGTATTACATTTTAAATAACACTGTTGTCATAATTTAACAGAGCCTATGGGTTTTCTAAGATTTGTAAATGTATTAGATAAGTGTGCCATTTAAAAGTCATTGGTATGAAATTATTGATTTAAGCATATTAGGTGAACTTAAGAATGTTTTTCTATAGGAACAATATATAATGGTGATTAGAGTCCAGAGCCAGACCTACAAAGACTATTAATAATGTACTTTTATTAATTACTATTATTAATGTACTTTAATAAAGACTTTATTAATAATGCACTATTTCTGCTGTCTTATTACCAGTTATTATATTCCTAGGAAAGCGTATTCTTGCTCTTAGACTTGAGTCTAGAAAGTCTTATCAGTCTTCATTGCTGTCATCCTGAAAAGAAAAGGGCAACTGAAATATTTAGAATTGGACTGTTGGGTAGGTTAGGGTAGATTTAACTAGGTTTATTTTGGGTTCTTCTGAGGTTTCGGGGTTTGGTTCTTCCGAGGATCTGTTAACCATTTGTTCTTTTTAAAAAGCCTTTGGTATACACCAGGGATGTCAAACTGCCAGCCCATGGGCCTCAGGCAGCCCCCAAGGTAATTTTTTGTGGCCCACGATTCTCTGAAATAAAATGAAAATAGAAAAAAATTGTTATGAAGAAAATAACACTTAGAGGAGATCAAGGCAATATCGTACACACAATTCCCTTGTTACATGTTATTTCAGAGCATAATGGGCCACAAAAAATTACCTCGAGGGCCGCATGCTACCCGCGGGCCACCAGTTTGACACCCCTAGTATACACTGACCTCTTACCTATCTGGTTTTAGTGTTTTCTATAACAGACAGATGGAGTATGCTTCATTAAATTCATAGAAAAATCCCATGAAAGGATGGATTTTTCCCACATGAACGTATTAAAGTGTCCTTGTGTGTTATTTTTGTAGCAAATATTTATCAATTAATATTTAAAGGATTGGTCTTGTTACAAAGCATTTTGTATATTCTAGTTAAATCTTTTAAAAATTACTTAATCAAGTCAAGCATAATAATTGGGAAATGGTAAAACTTGGTTGTTTATATCATGAAGAATTCTCCAAACCATTCTCCTTTCTACCATGCTGCTGGGTTTCCCTGCTACCAGACTAACTTTTCAAAAATTTTTCACTGACTATTTGATCCTCCTGAATTCTGTTTTTAATATCTCATCTTATATCTTCCTTGCAATTTACCTAATTACTTTTCAATATCCAAAGAAAGTAATGTTTCATTTAAACAAAAAGAAAAAAACTTTTCTGGAATTTATAAGACACATCATAAGCATTCAAGAAATATTGATTAAATGTTAAAAAAAAAGACTATTTAGGGAAGTTTAGTAAGGTTTTGCTGTTCTGAATAGTAGAAATCACTAGCACAGATTATTTTTAAATGATATGCATTAAATTTTATTGCCTTTGAATCTTTTGCTTGTGGGTTTGTAAATCTTAATTGCCTTCTTGGTGGGCTAAAAAAATAACTTTTGGTTCTCTGAATGCTCAAGGAAAGTAATCAAATATATTTTGAATGCTAGAACAATATTTGGCAGTGTACCTATCATGCAAGTGTGTTAGCTCCTAGAGGGAAGAGTATCGGAAATCATGATCATCTGTAATTTTCAGTTATATCCCTGAAAAACAGTCACTCAACTATGCAGAGTTCATCATTAAAATTATTATGAGTGATATCATTTTACAAATAATTTCTGAAGAGAACATTTTACCGTTTAAACTGAAGCATTATATTAATATTTTACTTACTTTTTTGGTTATTTGTGTAAATTCTATCTCTGTGTCACAACTTTCTATTGTGTGTGTCCCTTTTATTTTGGTGTTTTTCCTGATTTTTGTCATTGATGATTTTTAGCCAACAGAAGCTGTACCTCCCTCTTCTCCCACTGTCCCTGTGATCCCTGTCCTGCCCGTCCCTGCTGAGAGTACTGTCATCCTACCCACCACACCACAGGTTACTAGTTTCTTTTTTTCATTATGAAAAGTTGGTTTATTTTTAGTATTTTATTTGTAGTCTTTTAAAGCTGTTCTCATATTTTCTTTGTTAAGTTTGAGCTTTAATGGGGTATTACCAAGAACTAAATATTTGGAATTTAATATAAAGTAGATTTAACGTTTGCTGTTTGATTAAGTTGTCTGAGAAATAAGAAGTGGTCTAAACTTATCTTCATAATTTAGAACCTTCTGTATTATGCTTCAGTTTTTTAAACTTTCTAGCTTCAGAAATTTTTATTCATATTTAAAAAATTAAAACTTAAACTAATTTTGTATCATTTTGTTTCTCAGGATATATTTATCATCTTTGAAAATACGCCCCTTTCTACCATTTGATTACATAATTCATTTTAATTTATTAGTTAAAACTACTAACGATATATATGGAGTATTTGGGAATTCTGTGATAATATTGCACATTTTCTGTAAGTTTAAAACTATTCTACAGTAGTCAGTTTAAAAACATTATTTAGATCATGGAACAGCCCCACAATAAAATAATAACTAATTATCAGAGAATTTGAACATTTTTGTTTTCAGAGCTTTAGTAAGTCTCAAGGGGGGTGGCTTATCCAAAACCACTGCCTTTGAGTTGACTCTACCTCATAAGCGAATCTATTAGAGTTTCTGAGACTTTGTGACTCTTTTTTGGAGCAGATAGTGAGCATCATAATCCTCCTACAAAGCAGCTGGTAAATTTGAATCTCTTGCCTTGCCAGTAGCAGCCCAATACTTAACCAACATCACCACTAAGCTCCAAAGGAGTGGCTTAAGAGACGTTAACTACCCTTTCAACAGACTTATTGAAAATGAACATAATGTTAGTATTATTAACATAATATTAGTATTATTAGTATTATATATTGAGGTAATGATCTTTGGTTTTAGAGGTCTTATTGAAAATGTGAATAAATGTTTACTAAATCGGTAAACATCTGTTATTGATCTAAGTAATAAGCATAGTATGTCAGCTGTGAAAACATAGTTTCAAAATAAGCCCCATTGGCATAAAAAGCAGGAGGGGGGGGTCAACCATGATTATTTATTTTTCAGCACCCTTCCCCATCTCCTCTAAGAAATGAAAATTGATAGGAACATTCTAGGGGAAACTATAGATATTGCAGCAAAATCAGTCTTATGTGTTACTACTTCTTTATAATCTAGGTACTCTGAAAAGTCACTAAAAGTTAAGCAAAATCAGGAATTAAATAGATAATCTCCCTATGTTATAGAACAGAAGTTAAACCTATAAATAAAGTACAAATCGAAGTGAACAGCTTTAAGTATTACTACTCTATGTACAACTTCCCAAGTATCTAGGACTTTGTACAACAACAAATCTTTTTTTTATCATTTTATTTTATCCACACATCCATCAACAATAAACAATAAATTGTATCCTGAATCTGTTTAATCTAAAAATAATTTTCTACAATCCTCTTAGATTTTGTACCAGTGTCATCTTAAGAAACCTGCTGATTTCTGTAATATATTTACTGTCTTCCTACTTTAGTGCCTCTCATTACACTTAGAAATTATTGAAACGTTGTGTAGCTTAGTTAAAAATACAGGTCTTGACCCAAATTGGAACTTTCTACTTACTAGCCATGCAGCTATCTATCCATTTTAACCACACTGAACTTCTGTTTACTCATCTGTAACAGTAAAGATGATAGCAGTCCTAATTCAGGTGCTGTTGTAATGACGGTAAGGATAATTATTACAGGGGGAGGACATAGCTTAGTCACGGGCACCTGGCAAGAATTTAGATTTTAACTATTCGTGTTTCTTTGATAGAGTAAAGCAAGAGACAAGATTTTTTTTTTTTTAAAGCGAAGAGGAGGGAGGGATATGTAGCTAGGCCTAAAGATGGGCTTGTTTATTCTACCTAGACTCACTTTAGATTTTAAATATACTCTAAAAAATCCATAGAGGATAGGTTCACAGTTTGCTGCATTTATTTGAGAAAGCCTCCCTGTGTCCCATTTTCCAGAATGTGTATTCTTGAGTTTGTGTAGCCTGTGCATTGTAAAATGAATACAATCATTACGGATTTTTGTCTTCAAATAATTTCAAAAAGAAATACTTAGAAGAATATATAACTTAAATTGAAATATTTTCCTTCTGAGGTTTGCTTCTGTATTTTACTGCATCATCATGTAACAGAAATAGAAGCTGAAGACAAGATAAGAGTGTCATTCTACCTTTGTCCCTGGCATGAGTAATAGTTGGCTCCTAGTGACTAGAGTTTCATTTTGTTTTTTAGCCTCTCTGAGTTTTATTATCCTAGTCACTTACTAAAATTGAAGGTTATGCTTCTTTGACTACTTTTGAGTGAGTTTGAAGGTCAGGCAGATTATACACACACAAATATATACTTAATTAAGAAATTGTACTGCCTTTTATTATTTTTAGAATTCTTACATTTTCAGAGTACTTTTATATTGATCTTGTCATTTGAACTTTATGCAAACCCTCTGCAGTAGGAATTATTGTGGTATAGGAAAAACAATTACTGAAGTTGCAGAACATAAACCTTCTGGTCAAACATCTGACTCCATCACTTCCTTTGCCTCACTACTTTCTGGCCGTGTGATGGTGGGAAAAATCTAATTTCTCAAGAGCTGCAGTTTCTCCACATGCAAACTGAGGAGGTGAATAACCGGTGCTTTTTATTTCGGTTGTATAATAATATAATGATACTTGGTTTGGTAAATTCACTGGTTTATACATATTCTCCCAAGAAAATACTCTTCTTGAAAACCAGATCCTTTAAACCTTTATTTCTCCCAGTTATATAGTTGAAGTAATGTTAAGGCTGCGAGGGTGGGTGGGATGTGTATGTAAGACAGAGATAAGGCCATTTTTTCATATGTAAGTGTGTACTTTTTCATTCAGCTTTTTTTGTTGTTGTTGCTATTATTCAGTTGTAAAAATATGAAGATGACTATAGCATTGTCCCTGCACTTCAGGAGCCTACTATTATTTGTGAAAGAGAAAAAATAACAAATAACTCTTCCATGACAGGAGAGTAGTTAAATTAGGACAATGTCCAGAGTAACACGTCCTCTGTCTCCTGGATTTTTCGTCTTTCACAAATAGTATTAAAAGAGTGAATCATTATTGTAACCTTAGTGTAAACTTCATTTTACCAGTAATCTTAATTTGAGTATACTTTGGATTATTTGAATGAGCCTTTTTTTTAACTGAATACTAACATCTCCCAGCAATCACTTTAGTTCCATTTGTAAGTACAAATTCCAATTTCCATTTGTAAATTTGTAATTTTATAATTAACCCACAATGATCACCTAAGTGATAGCCTTTAATGTTTAATGCAATGTTTCTCAAATTAGAATCCAAGATGTATTCTCTATAGCAGTGGTTCTTAAACTGTTGGTCGTGAGCTCTTTGGGGGTCGCCCGATTCATAACAGTAGCAAAATGACAGTTATGAAGTAGCAACAAAGATAATTTTATGGTTGGGGGTCACCACAACATGAGGAACTGTATTAAAGTGTTGCAGCATAAGGAAGGTTGAGAACCACTACTCTAGGGTCTGTGAAACTACATTTGAAAATACTTGTTTATAATTTAGTTGGGAAAACAGAGACATTAGACAAATAACAACATGAAACTTTGATAAATGGTAAAGAAAAGAAATATAGTGTACCATATAGGAGATCACTTCCTAAACATTATGGCCTATTTTTAAGTAACTGGATCATAGAATTATTTTAACATGTAAGGGTGCTTTCATTGTTAGAATAGCAATCACTAGGAAACCTTTTGTTAATGAAATAGCATAGTAAAAGTTGCTTAAGCAAAATTGTGTTTCATAAGTTTTGTTATTAATGCTTAGTCAAATTCTTTACGGGCTTATTAGTCCTCCTCCTCCTGGAATATACCTACCCCTTTATTCCCTCCATGTCTAAGTAAAATCTAGGACTTTATTATTGCCCAAGTGTTTTTAAAATTTTTTTCCTATGATTTACAACATTTCCTTTATATTCACTAGAGCCTCACAGAGGTTCAGGCAGTTTTTACCACTGTCTCTACTGATGGAGAAAACGAGGCGCAGGAATGGGTTTTTACTTACATGAAACAGCGTTTAAATACTGTATATACTCGAGTATAAGCCGACCCGAATATCAGCCGAGGCACTTAATTTTACAACAGAAACTGCATTAAAAATGTGCGGAGAAACTCGGCTTATACACGAATATATGAGGTAATTTTCACTTGCCTAGCTCATGGTTCTCAGTGGTTTGGCAGTTTTGTAATAATTAATTTGACATTAGGTAGTGATGTAGTCACCACCCTTCATTGTGTGATTTGCTATGGCCATCCTCTATTTTCACATAACGCCGATTTTCACATAATGACCTAGTCTTTGGAACAAATCCATTTTGATAACTGACTAGTGAGTATAAGACAATGAACTCAATTCATGTATCCATCACCAAACTACAGCAAACATAAACTCGTGTCCAGTTTTATTTGATCCATATACATCCTCCCACCCCCGACCCCCCATTGTTTTACTTTTCAGTAAATTTAATACCGCATTTCATTTCACTCATAGCTACTTTAATATACGCAGTGTTTTTTAAATGACTTGAATCACAAGTTAACTTTTAGATCTTATGATAAGTTGACTTTATAAGCAACTAGTCTTGTAATAATAATTGGATGACATAGGTTTTTGATGAGAACCAGTTTCTTTTCTGCTGCATGTTTCATGGTAAACAGGCACAGGAAACCAAATGTGTTTTTGCCATAATTGTTGAAAAATATTAACATTATTAGAAATTGAAATGGCTGTGTTCTTTCATGCCTTCTTCCATAATTATGTAAGCAACATACGATGAAGTTATACCATACACATTTTTAATGAAGTAAAACATTGTCAATATGAAGATCATTGGGAAGCAAACAATTTCAATTATTCAGAAAATCTCAGATAGCTGTAGATTGACTACTAAATTAGCACTTTTACTTGCTGTATGTTAGGCTTGATTTTCACAGGATCATTTGAAACTAAACTATGACACTTGAAGTTAGCGCAGGTAATGCTATGTTTACATATTTCAAAATATTACCTACTTTTAACCAGCTGATTTGTATTGCCTACATGTATAGTATATAGTTATTTGGTCATGAGATGGTGCTATCCCTTAATGAATTTTATCATTTGGTTATTCATATGTAGTACTATGCTGAAAATAATGTAAAACATTCAAACTCTGAATATTTATCTTTTTAAAAAGCCTAAATCTTGGGAGAAATTGGTTTTTTTGTTTAATAAGTTTAATTTTTGTGCACCTTTTATGTAATTATGTAATTAGTTCAGTTAATTGGAATTTTAATGTTTCTAAAAATGTCTACTAACATTCAGTTAAAAGATTGTCATCTTCAGTTCCGGGGGGACATGGGAGAGGGGGAGGAGGGGGGAAGGGAAGAAGAGGGGATAACAAACACAGG